GTATATACCGGTACTTTTATAAATACCTCACATACAGTATATCAATAGATTTTAATGTCTTTACTTTGGCTTGACTTTAATTTATTAAACGTAAAGTAATTTATCACAGCTACTTTTTATATATATATCAGCTATTTAGTAAAGCAGGGAGCTTTGCCATGCCATGTGCGTATAGAGACATACACAGTTTTCTAGCACACACAAGGGTGGCACTATAGGGCCACCTGATTCTGCAGGGAACTAAAAATTTTAAACATCAAGGAGCAGCATTAAAGGAGAACTATGAGGCGAGATCATACTCATAGTTAGAGCCGAAGTGTGACATTGAAGCTGTCACATTGGCTCTATTGCTCAGGAAGTGAGTGAACACATACCGTTGCGCGCTCATTTCCTGATCATCTCCCTGCATGGAGCGGTGACTGTCAGTCACCGCTCCCCGCAGGGATTCCCCCCTCACTTCTCCGATCCTCCGGCGTTGACTGGAAGAACAGGCGAGGAAGGTGGCGGGTACAGCTGGCTCTGCCTCTAGATAGACAGAGCCCGCTGTCAATCAGCCAGCTGGGTGGATCTTGACAGTATTGTCGGAATCCATCACGGTTGTGGCACTCTCAGTATATAGCTCGCAATAGCTTGCCATATACTGAGCTCTGTGTCACAGGAGGATGTTAGTATATGTCCTCCCGTGACTTTAAAGAGAACTATGGGATAAAAAGGTTACCCCATAGTTCTCTTTTAATTGTAAGAGATATAATCAGCATTTGAAATGTACTGTACGGTGACATTAAAGTCAAAATATTTTTAAAATATTTAAAATGCTGAGTATATCTCTTACAATTAATGTTGCTCCTTAATGTTTAAAAGTTTTAGTTTCCTCCAGTATCAGGTGGTCCTATGGAGCCACCCTTGAGTGTGCTAGAAAACTGTGTTTGTCTCCATATGCACATGGCATGACAAAGCTCCCTGCTTCACTGTTCTGCTGGAGACAGCACTGTCCCTTGTGATCTTCCACTCAACAGGAAGTTTAGGGAAGCAGAACTGATAGAGTTGCAGCTAGCATGATGGCTGTAAGTGTTTGGGTAAACTTTTAAAGAACGCTTTGCTAGGCACTCTATTTTTTGTTTGATCTGGAAAAAGTTTGAGAGTTCAATACTACCTTAATTACAAGAGTCAGCTCTTTAATGGAAATGTGTGACCTTTATGAAGTCAGGGTAACCTCCATTAGGTAAAAAGATCAACTGTTCAATATACAGGTACAGGCATCCTCATGTATAGGGCATGCATATGCTGCATACTTCTCAAAAGACCACATCATAGGACCTGTCTATATATGCAGAGCACAAGGCTACAAGATAGAGTTAACAGAGCTTGAGAAGCACCACAGCCTGAACAACATATACAGCTGATGTAATCTGTGACCATTCAGTAAAGTTGGCCGTACACCTATAGATTTTCTATAGATTTTTCTCTATCAGCCTATGGTCAGATGGAAAAAGTGCAACAGATTCCTCCATCTACGCTAAACTGTGTGGATGGAGGAATCTCCCACTGGGCCAAGCTTCAGTTGCTAGTCTGCACCGCTGGCTTTCAAAATACCTGAACGATGCCTGCATCCAATCAGATTGTTCAGGTATTTTGACAGCTAGCAGGGCCGACTAGGAAGATACTGAAGCTTGGCCCAGCAGGTGGTTCCTCCATCCACACAGTTTAGCATAGATGGAGGAATCTGTTGCAGTTTTTCCATCTAACCATAGGGTGATAGAAAAAAATCTATAGAAAATCTATAGGTGTACGGCCATCTTCAAGGAATTATACAAGTGCTTCCAAACACATTATCCAGTGGGCTCAGTATAGCCATGGGTCCAATGCACATGGGGGGAAAAAGCAGCAGGAAGAGGAATATAAACCAGCCCCACACTACTGCCAGTCACCAGCAACTATCCTTGTATGCCCCAGCCATGTGTGCTGATGTGGGCAGCCATATTGGTTGCATCTGACATCAAAATTGTGAGATATGGTGTGACGGACTGAACCATCACTGGTGCTGTTGGAGGAGCCTGGGGGCTAGCCTCCTTCCTACTGACTATGGACCCACACTATGTGTGGAGGAATGTACTGTACATGTTCCCTGGCATTACATTTGGATGACCATGTGTTTACTATAGGTACAGACTGTGAATCCAGGAGCACTGAAGGGGGATAATTCTGGACATTGAACTGTTACAGTTTATTGGTCCCTTTGTTGTATTGTGTTGATGATGGGATTAGGATAGCTGATTCTAGGAGTAGCTGACTCCGGGTGTAGATGAGTAGATCACCCTATGATACACTCAGGAGATAATCCCATCACATGTGTCTCCTCTCTCCCTATTTTTGACTATTCCTTTATTAAGGCATCGGGGAGGGGATGTCTGTTTGCATGCTGTTCATGTTTGATTGCGTTATGTGTTTAGACTTCTTGAACTGTATATATACTGGGCTGGTCTTCAATAAAGCAGATCTTGGTTTCCACCTCAACATTGGTGTTGTCTAATGATTGAGTGGTTTAGCGTTCTGTCCTAATATATTGGTTCTGTCCAATAATTAGGCAGGTTTGGGCTAGACATGTGCACCAGCAAAAAATTTGTTTAGTTTAGTTTAGTTTTGAAACAAAGAAAAAAAAATGTGTTTAGTTTAGTTTCGTTTTGAAACAAAAAAAAATTTGTTTTGTTTAGTTTCGTTTTTTGGATTCGGATTATGGACGAAATTCGTTATTGGACGAAGTTCGTTGCAGCAAAATTACATTAGGGGAAAAAAATGTCTACATTACATTACACTCTGCAGAAGATGGAAAAAAAAAAGCCTGAGGTTCCCCCCCAATTCCTACCAGACCCTTTAGGTCTCCCTGCCCTGGATTAGAACCTGCGACCTTGACAATGGCAAACCTGTACGCTAACCACTAGACTATTGACTCTGAACCTTTAACCATAATTTTTTTCCCCTAATGTCATTTTACTGCAACAAAATCCGTATAATAACGAATTTCGGGAAATCGGGAATTTCGGATTCGTTTGCATTCTTAGCTGTAATTCGGAATCGGATGCATCCGAATCTCTGAATTTCCGAAACATTCGTCCGAAACGAATTTCGGAACAAACCGAATCGCACATGTCTAGTTTGGGCTGAGGACACTGGGATTCGGGTTCCAGCGGAGAGGAAGCTGATTACGGACCAGTCGGGGTACCAGGCGGTCCGTCACATATGGCCTCTTGCTTCTGTGTTTGTCAAGCTATATCCAGGAGTCCACAAGAATATTTACCATACAAAAGTTTAAATTGGGAAAACCATGTGGAGGACTGTGGCATTTCCCTTATTAAAAACCTTGCAGGGTTATGCACACGGGTATATGATTTTACCTAAGATCTGTAAAACAAAAAAGAGCTGAAAAAGTTTTTACACCTATGTGCATGGCCCCTAAAGGAGAACTCCAGGATTTTTTTTTCTGACACCAGTCAACACAAGTCAAACAAGTTAACTCTAATGATGATTATGCTATGTGTGGATCTCTGCTCTTTATGAAAAAATCCTAGCTTCATTGATGCCGGAAGCTACTGTCAGCTGCTCATGAGAATCTGGGTGCCCCCTTTCATAAAGCAAGGTTTATAAAGGGGGCACCCAGATGCCTGGTCCTGAATGTAAACACAGTGATTTCACTGTGATGGACTTGCTCCGTCCCTTTGTTTACATTCAGGAATGGAGCTGTCATTAGCGGCAAGTGTTTGCCAAGTGCTTACGAGGCCCCTTTTATGAAAGGGGGCACCCAGATTCAGATAAGCCCCCTTGCCCACAGACCCCTACAACCACCGAGCCATGGTTATTAGGAAGAGGACCTTGTCCTCATCAACATTGGGACCCTGCCCCATATTGAGGCCAAGTGGCTTAGTATGGTGCAGGAAGGAGTTTAGTTAGTTGTTCGGACAAGCACATTTTTTTTATGCTATTGACTTGCTGTACTAATTTTAAATAAATAAAACTGCAAATAAATGAAATTGTAGTTGTTTGCTGTTTCGCACAACAAACCTGCTTCTATCGTGCCTGGGTGTCCCTGTCCCATGCATGGTTTACTGCTACCACTACCCTTTTGAGCTTGTCTCCCCTACAATATATAGAATATGTAATAGCCGGTGTTGACAGAAACATAGTATAGATCGCACTGACTTTCAATTTTCTTAAAACCCAGTTGAATTAATTCCTATGGTTGGGTCTGTAATCATGGCAACCTCTGCCATCTTGAGGATCATAGACCAAACTATTAAAAAAATAAGAGTGGTGTGCATGTGTAGCAGGATTTGGAAGCATGCAGGATATTTTGTGCAAAGCCTGTGTTGCACCGTGCAAGGCTACACAGTAAAGGTCACAGGAATGCGATTAGAAGTAAGCATTTAGGTATGTGGTTTCCACTGATTGGGGTGGGAGGGGGGTTAATTTAAAAGAAAAAAATTATCTAAAAGTGAAGTTGTCCCTCAACACTGCATGACAGGACCCTTGAGAAGTCTGCTTTTTCATTCAGGGCCAAAGTTGACCTGATGTGATACTGACCAGGGGTTCCATGATTATGACCACTATGTGTATACAAAGGCCATAACCAACTGAACTTAAAGCCTATCTCCGTGTACAGAAAAACCCTGCCCGTTTCAGGAGGTGCCCCTCTTACACTGCAAGGGTTCATTTCTCATTTCTGTCGAGGGGTACTTTTAAAAATAATCTACCTTACCTGATCCCCGCTCCCCTGGCAGTTGGCACTCAACTCAGTGGGTCTCCAACCACCAGAGCAGAAGGGGGAAATGGATACCGATGTTGGATTTGGGTCCCGCAGGAGCAGGAATCAGGTAAGTAAAACTACTTTAAAGAATACCCCTAAACCAAGATAAGGGATTAACCCTTGTAGTGCAAGGGTATGCTCACTGCAAGGGGGGGGAGGGGGGGCTGTAAATGGTATAACTTCATCATTGATAGATACATACCGGTTTGCGGGTGGGTGTCACTTGGACAGACTGATAAAACTCTGGGTTGACTCGGCTGCTTCTCTTGATTTTTCTCTTCCTCAACGGAACTTCCTGGTCACTCTGCTGTACTTCTACTAGAGGCTTGGTTTCTTCAACACGGGCTCGTGTGTACCTCCTCAAGTGACGAGGGCTTGGCCTAAATCCCTAGAGAGAAAAAAAGGATTCCTTTTTATTTTACTTGCAAAGGCACATGGCTTGTAGTCATTGAAAAGCTATTTAAACAGCACAATAAATGTTTATATGCACACCCAGGTTAAAGGTATGTAAACACCAGTAGTACAAAAGAAATATTTATGGCTTTTCCCCTTTTACAGGAACTAAAATGGTGCATATATATCATCTATGAAATCACTTGTCAGGTCACGTATCAGTGTACTGTGACCCTTCAGTAAAGAGATATATAACACTATTTTTCATAAAGATATGTATATGGTTAAACATTATACAGTTTACAAAACCTAAAGCCCCTTATGTATAAATTCACTAATTTCAAAATTTGCAGTAGAGCTACAGCAACTAAAATCCTTTTATCCAGTGTACATTAGAAAATGGAATTCCTGATTGGTGGTTTTTAATCATAGATAGACATTTATGAAGCAAGTGCATGGCTTGGTATTACAACTTAGTATTTTTAGCACTTTGTATTTCTTTTTCTAAAAACCTCTTTTGGCCCCCTATCCCCTCTATTTGACAACTATTTGTTCCCTGCGGGGGTTGCGATCTCCTTGATAGGGGGATATAAGAGAGATCCCCCCCCCCTTTTTTATTTCCTTCCTTTCTCAATTCTCCTCTATCTGGTTTCTTCCCTCCCTTTCTACAACTTTCCTAACGTATCAGGATGATTGAAAGTTAGGAGAAGGTATTAAGCGGTGTAGACACGAGCTACAACACCTGACTATGCCGGCTAGAGTCCCACCATACATTTTGTGAATATGTCCATAGTGATGAGGACCCTTTCTACATTGTTGTGTGAGTAACCAAGAACTGCCTTAGCTTTATCATGCCTCCTGATGTCAGGATGTTGTTTTTTTTTGTCCTTCTTGAATTTTGCTACTGAATGTTATGAAACTTGTTTAAGAAAATGCTAATAAAAACTGATTCAACACTAAAAACCTCTTTTGGACATACTTTAGGACCCCAGAATGATAGGCAAATGATATGTCTACCTTTCATGTCCTAAACACATAAGCATAATTTTATTATGTCTTGTAAATGCCAGTTGAAACATCAGTCTAAAGGGCCTTCAGCAGGGTTTAACACGTTTTGAGCTTTGCTGAAGCTTGGTAAAACTTGCTATCAGTTTATTTAATGCTCCAGACAACAATGCTATTAAATCAATGTGATAGTTTGGGGAATATAGCACAATAGTGACCACTCCTGAAGCCGACTTTAACATAAAAGGACAGTCTTTATTCAATCAAAAGGTCAACAGTCCATGAACTTCACAAAACAACTTGCTTTTCTTAAGCATAAACAAAGCATAACAGTTCATTGGACTCTCATCAACACATCATGTTTTGGTCTCACCGACATCTGGCTGTCCCATACACTCCCAGTGTGATAGTCCCATGACTTTCCCTGGAAATACAGTCCTCAGCAGCTTTCCTCAGCTCCAAGACTTTTAGTATTCACCCCTCGTGGGTCACTGTCCCTCTCTGTCCCTCTGTCCCTCTCTCTGGACCTCTCCAGCCTTCCTGGCTGTGTCCCTTGTGCTCACGCACGCAGCAGAGTCTGCCTGTCATCGTGTGCATCTTGCACACCCACAACTCTCCTCTGAGCACTGGGCTGGCTTCTTTATAAGGCTGCCTTCAGCCACCTGATCAGCAAAACCTGGCCACTGGCAACACCTGGCCCCAGGACTGGAGATCCCATCCCACTATGGTCTGGAAAACCTGGAAGGAACTGAACAGCCATTTCCTCCTCTGCAAAGGTATTCACATTGTGGAAACTCTTAGCCCCTCTAACTGAGTGTTCTTGGGGGTAATGTTGCCAAATTACATTGTGGCATTGCCACACCCTTCTACATCAACCAATCAGTGAGCTACTAACAGCCAGAACACACAGTGTCAAATCAGAAAGTCTAAGCATTTTACTTATAATATGATTTTTCTGTGATCCACTGTATCCAGAATCCAGGGAGCACCTCACATGGTCACTGTAGCATACAGAGTATACCAAACTTTTGCTGTGTAATGTCATCTTTCTCCGCTTCCTACATCACTAATCACTTTCAAACTTCAATAGCAGATATTAATATTTTTGATATTCCTGAGAAACATCTAAATAATAAAAAAATTTCTTATAGCAAGCTGTATGTAGGAGGCCTTCAAGGAACCTGCAACGGTTCGCTTTTTAAAGATTATTTTGTGGATGGGCATGGGCCATGCAGGGTACTCTTTTCCGGACATGCCTCAATGATGTAGAAAGCATTGCTGATGACACCCGTGATGTTCTCTGCACCATTGTAAATTGAGTTAAAAGTGCCATGGTGAACCCCCCCCCCAAGTGGTAGGTCCATGAAGCCCTGCACCTACAGGAAGTATTGAATGACTCTTAGGGTCATTTAACCCAGAAGGTGACCTTTGTTTGCTTGTGTTTAAGTACTGCTGATGGTGCAAGCCACCTCTGCATTTCACAGACTCAACCCGAGCAGCAGGACCCAACTTATTTCCACCGGAGTGTCACACTACTTTTCCAAGGAACACTGCACAACTGGGATGCAATTAAAGTTGTATATTTATTTTGATAGCCAGCAGGAACAATTTGACCTGTTTAATGCTAGACCACATTGCTTTCTCAAAGAAGAAGACTTTTGCTGGAAGACTGGAGAGATATGTCTGTTCAGTACAAGGTTACAGAGAAGGTAAACTTTACAGCAAGAGCTACATTTTTATTTTTGCTGCAGGAGGGCTAATTTTCAATAAAAGTTTAAAGCTGGAATTGGGTTCTAAAGGCTACAAAAACATTGCTTAAATGCTTTGCAATTAACTTGCAACTGTAACTTTTAGAGTTATGCTTATCTCTGCTGGGAAAGTACATTAATTCAGTTCCTAATGCTGAACATTTGATAACATTCAGGTAGTCAATGCAATAAACTATGAAAAATAAACTATTTACGTCCAATTCAATTAAAACAGAATATCAGTACCTGGACAGGTCATGTAAATATTATAAAATGCAATACTAACTGGTGGCACACAAAAATCAAGGCCTAACATGATGATGAACAACATTTATGGCTGAATTGCAAAATCAATAGCTTTCACTCCATGCTGTCAACTTCCTTGAGCTTGGCAAGATTTATATCCTCTGCTAATATTGTGCTTGATGTAAGGGATTGATCATAAATAGAACAAAGCCATATTCCAATGGAAAATGTTTCATCTCTTTTGTTACAGGAATAGAACATATTTGTTAGGGCAGTAGGAGAGTTTGAAAGGGAGGATGTAACTCGGGGCTATATGTAAGAAAAAAGTTCTTCTTTCAGGCACTTTGGTAAACAGCATGTTTGGGTCAGCAATGGCAGCCTACACATTTCTTTCAGAAGAGGGAGGGTTTTCTTTAAACCCCAAACTTCTTAAAAGGGGGTCAGTTTACTGACTGTCAGATTGTCTTTGGGTGGCACTGTGGCCACAATTAGTAAAAAGAAATGTCCCTGGGTTGGCAGGCAGCGGGAGTAATAATGGTCCCATACATTGGAGTAATGTGTCAGTGGTAAGTGAATTTAAAAAAATGCCCTTACATCAGTGGTCAGTGGGAGTTAGAAATGTCCCTTTGTTAGTGGTCAGTGGAAGTAATAAAAGCACCCCCCATAATTTCCGTGTGAGTAGAAAAAGCCTCCCTACCAGCACTGGTGACAGTGTGAGTAATGAAAGCCCCTTTTCTGACGGAATCAATGTTGACCAGAGTAGTGAACATCCCCCACCAGAAATGGTTCACTGTGAATAGTAAAAGCCCTTCCCCAGCACTGGTTTGGTGTTAGCAGTAAAAGCCCTCCCCAGCACTGTTTTTTGGTGTGAGTAGTAAAAGCCCTCCCCCAGCATTGGTTTCAGTGTGAGTAGTAAACCCCTCCTTTCCTGCATTGGTGTCAGTGTGAGTAGCACAGTGTGAGCCTTGGTGCCAGTGGGACTATTAAAAGCCTCCCCTCCAGCAGTGATGTTGGTGGGAGTAGTAACAGGTCTCCAGCATTGTTGCCAGTGGGAGTAATAAAAGATAAAAAATAATGTCTATGAAGTACTTTTTGCTTTGCTATGCACATCCGCCGAGGAGGAAAGTCAGTGATATTTTTGTGAAGAGTTTCCACTTATAGACTAGAGCATTGGTTCTCAACTGGTGGGTCGTGACCCAAAAGTGGAAATCAGCAAAGATGTCACCAGCACACCATAAGATTTCAGCAAAAGTCCATTTAATGACAAATTGCCATTCAATGACTTGGTAATTGAATGGCAATTTGTCATTAAATTGACTTTTGCTGAAATTTTATGGTGTGCTGGTGACATCTTTGCTGATTTTGAGTTGTTCACGGTGCCGTCCGGGTCGCTACAAGCACCCACCTGCTTTTGCAGGTCAACTATTATTCCGATAAGGAGTGCAGCAAGTTACCTATTTCGTGACCCAAAAGTGGGTCGCGACCCCATGTTCAGTGGATCCCTGTATGCCTTCCATTTTCCTAGGTGAGAGGCTCCTCAGCATCCCCCAAGTGCAACACTGTCAGTTCTCGCACCAAGCAGCCATTCAAAATATGCTGCCCGGTGTGAAGTGTCAGCTTGAGGTGGGGTGTCCTGGGGCTATGGCCACGTGGAAGCTCCATCCATAAGGGTATTGCTTACAGCTCCCTCATGTGCCCTGTAGAGGTGCCTCGACCGGAGTGATGTAACATTGTGGCTCCTGGCACCTCTACAGGGTGTGCAAAGGAGCTGTACAAGTGGATGCACATATCGATGGAGCTCCATCACAGCACAGCAGCCCACACTGGACCCCAGGTTGAGGATCCACTCCAGTTCTCGTAAGATAGGGAGACTGGATGGATTTAAAAAATATATTTATTTGTTTGGAGTGCATATGTGTGTGTGAGAATGTCTGTCTGTGAGATTGTGTATGTGGTTGTGTGTCTGCCAGTGTTTTTGAGGACCCACTCACACTAG